CTATGTTAAAGAGCCCGCAACTCATGTTTTAAAAATTATAATATAAATTGAAGTTTATTAATTGTAAAAAAAGTGAAAAAAAAGTAGTACATCAAAATAATCAGAAAAAATGTTTATACTTCATTATAATTATGTTATCTGTACGAAAAGGAACAACAAAACGGTGTTGTTATGGAGTATGTAAAAGTGATACACGATATTAATCATTCAAAACCAACACATACTATTTTATAAATTTTCCAAAGCCTTGTGTTGAATATCGCAAAAAATTAATCGAATCATCAAGTAAATTACATATTAAAGCATGTGCAAAATGTGAATTATGGGTGAAAAAATGTAGCAGGAGTGACCGAGGCTTTAAATATATTGATGATGTTACCAAGGATACTTATATTTGCTCACTACATTTCATTGGAGAAAGCGGTCCAATTGAACAAAACCTTGATCCTTTAAGCTATCAGGAATTTCAACATGCGTACATTATTCCTTATTGCATTTTTGACTGTAAATTTCATATAGACGTTTTAACCACCTTTTTAATTGTTCACAATTATGAGCCTCTACTGAATTATTAACAAGTGAAGCACCATCAATGGCTTTTCCAATAATTTATTTGTTTGTAGAGATGCTTTTCCTTGCCGAGCCATTGTTGATTAAAACAGTACGAATGTTTTGAATTACCGCCATTTCAATATGACAGCTACGCTTGCGCTCGTCTTATGATGAAAAGGTCTATGCCGTACCTATTCGGTATCATATGAATTGGTTTTAGATGAAACAATTTTTCGTGAAATGAGTAGCAAATTGATTGTTATGTTGAATATTTTACCACACTTTGTACTTCTCTCTAAAATAAGATCAGATTTTGAAGCTATCGGTTTCTCCATTTTCGCTCTGAAATTACAATAGCGTAGAAGGGCCAGAGAAATCTATAATCTTATTTTTCCCCAATTCACACTCACAATTGTAAATTCACAGTTGCAGCTTTGAATTTTACACTTATAACTGTGAATTATGGTCAGCGTCTGTATACAGCAAATTTTTATTTCGCATGTATGTATCTAACGATTGTTAATGAAACAAATCTGTCACCTAACCTAACCGAAGTTAGATTCAACTAATGGAACTAGAACTCGAAAAACATATCACATATTGAAACTTATTAATTGAATATAGCTTTGGTTAGGTTGAGTTAGGTTGGGTTAGGTTATAAGTAAGATTTTATCTAAATTAACTAATTTCTATCGAACTCAGAGCAAAGTGTAGATCCCATATCTACAGATTGGTGTCTACAGACACTTGTCCTAATTCACAGTTATAACTTTGAATTCGACTAGTCTATGATGCACTGTTACCTTTGGTGTAGTAATGATTATTACTGGAGTTTTTTTCCATTCCCAAATCGTTATTTTTAACACTTCGACACGACACGTGTCGAGGTGTTAAAAATAACGATTTGGTGGTGGAAAAAAACTGTAATATTCGACTAGTGTAGGTTGTAACTGTGAAATTACACTTATAACTGTGAATTCACACTCATAACCTAAAGCTGTAACTGTGAATTCCTAGTTATAATTGCATAATCACAGTTATAATTGTGAATTCAGTTACAGGTGTGAATTGAGAAAAAAGAATAATATAGATTTTTCTGACCCTCCTGGGCTTTCGTATAAAATTAATCCAAACCTTTCTTTGGCACCCAAGGGTTGATTTCAATGCATTTGACAAGATGCCACTTGACTCTAATAAAAAAGAACACATAAACTGTGTAGTCTATTCCACACCATTCAATAATTCCTCGATAAGTTATAGTTAAGTTTGAGCTGATTTTGTTGGGTTTTGTTAGTTAAACTGTTGAGCTTATCAACAAATTGATAGGGTGGGTGTCGAGTAGTTTGTTTTCATTTCGATATTCATCTGTAACCTCTGCTGGCGTCATCACGTGTTATGTACTTGAATATCAATTAAGTACACCATATTATGACGAATCACGATACAGTTTATCACAAGTAAACGCGATAATGTTCATTGTCACAGGTAATCTTTTTATCTGTCTGATGCCTCTACTATCTACTCATCTTTGATATATTTGATTTGAGACGTAATTCCCGAGCAAGGAAAAGTGAACTTTTGAAAATACAAGTATATTCCTATTGGGCATACATTGGGGAAAAATGGAGTCTGGGAGTCAGAGTACTTGATCGCTGGAGCTTGATGTACAAGGAGGCGATGTTGATGTTATTGCCAGAAAAATAAAAAGATAATATAAACTCAGAAACGTTCAGAATCCAAAATTTGCGTTTTATGTAATATATAAGCTCGCGGTGCCTCTGCGAAAATAGTGATTCACATTGGATTTGAATCGCTGAAAATTAAATAAATCCATTTGTAAAAACGTTCTCAGGAAGTTTATCCCACGTAAACGTCGTTCTCCAAATGAAAGAGTTCTTAAACAGTGAATGAAGTTTGTGGTGAACTGAGTTGAACCTCATAACGATGAGCAGCCACAGTCCGTCGCGTATTTCTGATATGTACCGCTCTTGGGTGGAATCAAATGTGCGAAGTCACTTGAACACTTTCTGTGAAAGTATCTATAGAAGAGGGATAAATCGCCAACCTTTCTTCGATGTTCCAGACTATCAAGGTTACAAGTGATCCAGCAGCTTCATGATATGTTTGGGGGTGGAGGCCCATACATGAGAACAATACTCCAAAGAAGGTCCGATCTGGGCTTTACAAAGCATCAAAAATTGCTGAGGTGTGTACAGTTTTCTGGTTTGGAACAGTGTTCCAAGCTTTTTGGATTCTTGTTTTTTTTCCAATAAGTCGTTGATATAGGTACAATAAAAAGAGGGTTAGAGACAATATGGATCCCTGGAGAACACCAGCGTTGATGGTAAAAGTATTCGAGAGATATCCAACGACGGCCACTTGCAGGGAACGTTTTTTTCAAGAAGCTGAAGAGTCATACACAAAAATGATCTGACAAGTCATAGCATCGAAGTTTGGCCAGCAAACCCTCATGTCATACACGATGAAAGGCCTTAGAAATATCAAGCGCAACAGCTCATGACTCTCCATGATTCTCGATTGCCTTATTCCAAATATGGGTGACATACGATAGAAGGTCGCCTGTTGATTTGGTACCTACATTTCTGAATTTCAAGTAACACTTTACTGTGAGATTTTCACTAAACAGTTAACAAAACCGAAACACGTGTTTTGCTATACAATAGCTTCCTCAGGCGTGTTCATATTGAGTCACTAAAAATCTCACAATAAAGTGTTACTTGAAGGTTGAACTTGTCAAAGATGGAACTTAACCAGATTGATACATTTTTGGTAAAGAACCTAGTTCCACTCTAGGTAAACGAACGAAAATTCCACATTACAAAAGTTCTTCCTTCCCAAAAATGTTTGCAGGTCGGGCCTGTCAATTACATTTCAGACAAAACATACTTAATCCCATCCTCCAAGTATGAAAAAAATTAATATTGGAATCACCAATTTTTCAATGAAATGTGATTTTTCATAGACCCAGAAGAAGGAGGTAGTTGGGAAGTTGTTTTTTTATCGAAAATATATTATTCTCGTTAAGTTCAATCATAAATAGTCAGTCACGAACCGCAAAATTCAATTCAAATTTTATCAGTAATTTAAAATATCTGTACATGTATTCTGACAGATTCGACCTTCAATGATTTTTGGCGATATTCAAGATTTATTTCCCATTTCAAGAGAAATATGAATTTTTGTATGCGCAGGAAGTAGAAAAAAATGTTCAAAATCGCCTTAGTAAGAATGAGTATAAAAAATTAAAATTGGAGAAAAACAAATAACGACAACAAGTAATAAAAAAAGGATAGCTAGGAACCCACCTACTGAAAAGAAGGTAAAGGAGAGGAGTAAAAAGTCGATAAAAGTTCAAAAATTGTGTGATGAAAAGAGAAAAGGCGACAATGTATTTTTTGTTCGTATTCATTTATTCATAAGTTTTCATTTATTCCAACTTGTTTACTTACATTTGCTGGATTAGATTCATGTAAAAATTCATTTAACGAAAAGTTCCTACTTAGGTGGATACCTACCTAATTATTTTTGGCAGATAAGTATGTGATAGAGGCCTCAGTCATTGTCAAATAATTATGCATAAACAAGTCATCTGAATTCAATATATAAATACCTAGAAGATTTTAGGAACGTAGATATGCATCAAATGAAATTGACATAGGTAACTAACTACCTACCTACCCAGTCAAACATATTGAAAACACTTTTCCCTCACCAGAACAAAAATGCTTAAACTCAGTTAAACTTCGTTAGCAAAACGCGTGGAGTGAGGGGAAATTTTCCCTGATGAGGGAACATTGTTTTCATACGATTCATTTCAGGCCAGAGGTTCCAAATTCCACTTATCTACCTAGCCAAAGTTCCCGTTTAACTAACAATAATGACCAATTTTAAATAACCATTTGTGTTAAAAAGCACACTGCAGTTATGTGTATCCAGATGGTATTCATCAAGACACTGTATTTAACGGTTAACTCCATTTATAGGATTTAAAAAGAAGAAATAATTTGATAGACACGACACACCATGTGACTGGCAGCTTTAAAATACCGCTCGGTGGCAATTTAATATTTTCAGATGAAACAAAAATAATTAGAAACAAATATACCACAGTTACCATTGATAAAATGAATGATAATAGAATTTCAAGAATGCATCGAGTAGAAGGCTGTGACAGTGTGACATAAGTTTTCAAGGTCGACGAACGAGGCTAGACCTTTTGAGATCAATCGAAAAAGAAGACCACCAACCCGCTATCCGCCGGCCGGCATGTCTTGTTCACGATTCACGAGTACGAACATTCAAGTTAGGTTAGGCCAAAACCGCCGTTGAATCAACCAATGAAAACTCTCCATCAGCTTTATGCCCATATAAGGTAACGATTGTGAATGGAGACTGGTGGGGCGGACCAGTCCATAAATCGCGACATAGGGGAGGCCTCTGATGAAATGAAATTTATTTCTTTTGTTTTGAATAATAGAGTACCTTTGACAAATAAATAATAAAAAATAAACGTCAGAATTCCTGGAGTTATCTTTCTCAAGTCTAGAAAAGCTGAAAAAAGAAAACGAAAATTTGAATTTTCTTCCGGCTTCACCTCTCAGGAAGTGATACCTACCCACAGTTCTTTGAAATCGCAACCGGCATCTTTCCATTCCATAGTTGTTCGCTGTGTCGAGTTGTTTTGTGACGTGTCCTGTTGTAACAGTAAGAGGTAAGAGGGACTTATTTTTTAATTTCAAAACAGACCTCTGAAAATGTTCACCATTTCAATCAATATTCGAATAATCCACTGCATTTTATTAAGACTTTGACGTTTTCCGGGTGTCCGTTAATAAGACCATACATCCACTGTTGAGGGGCGTAGCACCTGTTATGTTCCAGTCGAGTTAAATCCAAGACATTTTATACGATCTATTTTTACCTTGTGCAAGTGGTTGTAGTAAAAATACCGCATGTAAGATTTGAATTCGAAATAGAGGTTGATTTGATTACTTGAACTTTCTGTTCGGAGGATCAAGCAAAAATGATGCATTTCATGTAAATAATTTATATTATAGTATCATTTATTAAATTGTGTAGTGATTTCAGTTGTCTTCTCATTTTCTGGTTTCTCTGAAATGTTCAGATTTTTATTAAATTCATCACATAGAAGTGTGTCAGACTGATATGTTTTGGTGGGGAACGGGGAAAATCGATGCAGTGCAAAGCCATATATGGTAATGTTACTCCTCATTGGTTCGATGTGAGGGGGGATATTGCGCTCTCAAGCTCTAGCAGCTAGGAGGGGCAAATAATTATATATATGCTTAAGACTTTTGAAATTCAGACATTCAAGTCTTGTGATAGTGCAGGCACAGCAGTTCAAATAAACTGGTGCTTCCAATTTATTTATATATTTATACTTTTTTACTAGAAACCAAAGTAAGTGGCTCTTTTATAGAAAAAGTGAATTAAGTGTTTGAAAATGAAAGAGATGTGGTCGTGCAAAAAACTACATGGGATTTATAGTTCAAAAATTATTTCAGAAGTGTAAAGTGTCTAGTGGTGCATTTTCAAAGTGTCCCCGAATTAAATTGTGGTTGATTCATGAATCAATTCATTAATGACCCAAAAATTTCTATACTTGGGGTTCATTAATAATGTAAATGTGGTTTCCTGATAATCTGAAACCGGTTTTGAGGCAATCTGATGAACCTTTTGTTCCATTCATATAAATTCTAAATGCTTTTTTTGAATATTTGTTTGAAATTATATGAAAAGAAACCACACTTTACTATAATAATTTCAATGGAAAATTGGGATATATTCTGAATTTTCTCTTTCATTTTCATATAAATTTTCATTTATATACTAGTTGGTTTCTAATTTTGAATTTATCATTCCATTGACAAAGTAGCATTGTTTTTAAAATTCAAAATTTTTTAATTTCAAAATAGTTAATCAAAAATTAAACTAATTTTTTTTCTTTCCAGTACTAACCAATCAACATGTGTGACGAAGAAGTTGCCGCATTAGTCGTAGACAATGGATCTGGTATGTGCAAAGCTGGATTTGCTGGGGATGATGCCCCCCGTGCAGTTTTCCCATCCATTGTTGGTCGTCCAAGACATCAAGGAGTTATGGTAGGAATGGGCCAAAAGGACTCATATGTAGGAGATGAAGCCCAAAGCAAAAGAGGTATCCTTACCTTGAAATACCCCATTGAACACGGTATTGTCACAAACTGGGATGATATGGAGAAAATCTGGCACCATACCTTCTACAATGAACTTCGAGTTGCCCCCGAAGAGCACCCTGTTTTGTTGACAGAGGCACCATTGAACCCCAAAGCCAACAGGGAGAAGATGACCCAGATCATGTTTGAAACCTTCAATACCCCTGCCATGTACGTCGCCATCCAAGCTGTATTGTCTCTGTATGCTTCTGGTCGTACAACTGGTATTGTGCTGGATTCTGGAGATGGTGTTTCTCACACAGTACCAATCTATGAAGGTTATGCCCTTCCTCATGCCATCCTTCGTTTGGACTTGGCTGGTAGAGACTTGACTGATTACCTTATGAAAATTCTGACTGAACGTGGTTACTCTTTCACCACCACTGCTGAAAGAGAAATCGTCCGAGACATCAAAGAAAAGCTCTGCTATGTAGCTCTTGATTTTGAACAGGAAATGGCTACAGCCGCAAGTTCCAGCTCCCTTGAGAAGAGCTATGAACTTCCCGATGGACAAGTCATCACCATTGGTAACGAAAGGTTCCGTTGCCCAGAAGCTCTCTTCCAACCATCGTTCTTGGGTATGGAAGCAAATGGTATCCATGAAACCACTTACAACTCAATCATGAAGTGTGACGTGGACATCCGTAAGGACTTGTACGCCAACACAGTATTGTCTGGAGGTACCACCATGTACCCAGGAATTGCTGACAGGATGCAGAAAGAAATTACTGCTTTGGCTCCAAGCACAATGAAAATCAAGATCATTGCCCCACCAGAAAGGAAATACTCCGTATGGATTGGAGGATCCATCCTTGCTTCACTTTCCACTTTCCAGCAGATGTGGATCTCCAAACAAGAATACGACGAGTCTGGTCCATCTATCGTCCACAGGAAGTGCTTCTAAATTTTTTTTCGCCAGCATTCTATTGTATGTTTCACATAGCCCTATTTTGGGGGCGAGAACTGCCGTGTTTAAGTATGGGCTCGAGTGCCCATAAAACATGCACTCTAGGCCAAAGTATTACTATCTTAATTTTGTATTTATTACATGTGCAGAATAAGACTCTTATATATTATTAGGATAATACTATGGGATAAATAAAAAAAATTGTAAACTTCATTATTGTATTCCTTAATTTATTTCACCTTTATAATAAAAACATTGAAAACAGTTTTTGGTATAGTTGAATGTTCACATTTAGGAAAATCATAAACTGATATAAGAATGTTTTTCTGAAAATTGAGAAAATAATTTTTTTGTCTGAACTCAAAGATACAAGTGATTTTGATAGAATTTTTTTTAAACAATGATGGGAATTTATTTTGTCTTGAACTCTTCATAGATACTACTTCCAATATAGTTTTTTTTACTTCATAGATATAGTTATTAATTCTAAAGTTGTAGTATACAAGAACATTAGTTTTTTAAACTGAAAAAACATATTTTTTTTAACAAATTCAACAAACGAAATTAATATTCCATAATATTTTTGTAATCAGAACGGAATATGTTTGGTTTTCCTATAGTTGAATGTAAGATTTGGAAAAATTCATTGGAGAATTGAATTCAAAGTTCATTTTGCAATTTAAAAATGAAAAAAAAAATTCATGACCTTAAGGTATTTTCACCTTCCACAATTTGAAAATATCGAAAAAGGTCGATGAACCGATTTTTCCTCCACTAGTAAAAGAGAAAATTCAGTTTAATTTAAAAGCAAATCGAAATTACTGTTTTTATAAATTGTTATTAGTATGTCATACTGGAAAATTATTTGTCTCAAAACTTCTGATATACAGGGTGATTCAAAAGTACTTTGACAAACTTCAGGTGATTCCTCACAATATTCTAATATGAATTGTCCAAATAAATAAATGTCCGGAAACGCTTCGTTTCCAAGATACAGGATGTTGAAGTTTTATTTTCGTTTTTTTTTCAAATAACTTTTGAAATACTGAACTTAATTAAACGAAACTTGATAATAGGAGGTTTTTGAGATGTCAAATTCGAACCTGATGTTCTTATTGCTCTTACTCGTAGGGGGCGCCACCTACACGTCTTTTTCTTTTTTAAAGATTCATAACTTTTTTGGGCGTACTTCTAGCACATTTTTCAGTAAAAAAATCGATTCCTCTATCATATCTACGTAAATAAGCTACCCTTGTTACTAGTCGCTGTAAGCAACCGTTTTCTAAATATTTGGACTTGAAAACTTCAAGTCGATTATTTGNGTTGCCATACTGATATAAGATATTGTTAGAATATTGTGAGGAATCACCTCCTGAAGTTTGTCAAAGTACTTTTGAATCACCCTGTATATTGAATTGAGTGAATAAATTTAATAATCTGGAGTAGAAAAGCATCTCTTAAATATGATTTCAAATATTGCCTTCCTCAAACCAAATCAGCTCTGTAACATTTGTTCAGGTGGTGAATATATCGAGAGGGAGGAGGGCCCTATTTGGTTCAAGAATAAATAAGGATTTATGCAGTTTAATGAAATGAGGCAACTGATTTATTGAGGATTATAGTTGTTATTAGATTTTGACAAAATTAAATGATTTCATGCAAATGCCAATTCATTGAATTGAAATAGGTACAAGATAAGTGATACTCCATCACATAAGGAAAACATAAAAATGAGGTATTGGTCTTTATAGGCCTTGACGTTTAGAAGATTGAATGATCTGTATCGTCGCGTAAAATTTATTTCATGTAAATAATTCAGAATTCAAATAAATTCTTAGAAATTAATGTCAAATATGGTTTTGAAACTTCCTTTGTTTTGGTATAAATGGTATAAAATACCATTTGTATTTGTTAGTGCAGTTTCGTCCTTGTAGGACGAAAACAGGAAGTTTGAATTATCAGTTTTCATGATGATCTCCTACCACATAGTAATGACTACATCCATTAATTTATTTGAATATGGTTTTTATAGGCCATGCTATGTGCATATTCATTCAAAGCTCAAGTCATATAGGTACTGAGTGGTAATGTGACAAACATCACATTTGATTGGAGAGAACCTATGTTATTTCCATATTATTCTTATTACTGTCTCGAAGCTATCTTTCCAGTTTGTTGGCAGTGGTTCGCAGGTTTTATGCCTGTCGTTTCGTCTACAACTGCAGTAGACATCAAAACCGATGAGGCATGGAACGATGGCATCACAACACATAACTATCCATGCACATACCCATGATAGAATCCTGTCTATATGAGTAATCAATTTTTTATTTGGCTCAATTGGTTTTGTAAAAATTTCAATTTTCAAAATTAACAGTAAAATCTATATTTCATAGTCAAAAACATTTTGAATTGTTTTTTCTTCACAAAATGTTGAGTTTGTTTTTGTAGTAGTAAGTATTGATTAACTATATGATTCATTAATAACAATTATTTATTATGTACCAGAAATTCTCATTATTGGAATCCATCTACTGTAATAGTATATCATTCAACCAACGAGAAATGTGGCCATTACAGGTGATAATGAAGTTTGTCGACGGGAGCCAAAGAGCGAATAACTACCACCATTTTTGCGAGTAAAACACTATTTCGGGTTTCGCTCCGTATTCTGTGTTGTTGATCCTCACAAGGATTATTTCCACAAAGTTTCAGCACAGTCTCATTTGCCATCTTCTGGTGATGTCTGGAGTTAAGAACTACACTGGTTCACTCACCTCTGTTTCTTAATTTATAGGGGTGCATTTACCTGGGTTGCTTCCACTACCAGTGTTAGCCCGTTTTGGCTCAAACTTCACATAACTATAAGCAACATAATTCGCCCATTTATATAGAATAAGATTGGCGGAATTCCGAGCGGAAAATGACTTTGAGATCACAACTAAGAAACAGAAGAACAAGTTCAACTATCTTAGCGTGACATAAAAAAAGAAAAAGAACATACCAAGGATTGAGCCCACCAGACTGGTTTATAACTACTCCAGCTATCACCTGGATGTGGCATCTACTGAGGCGCTAGCCAAAGGTTTCAATTTTGCTGTCGCGCCAGGTCGCATACCGGTTGAAAACATAATTAGCAATGTAAAAAAATATTTGCAAGTAAAAAGAAAATTATAAGTTACAGTTATGTTACAGAAAAAATATCCACCTGAAAATGAAAGCCATTGAAGATTTAATTTTATATGTACTGATGTCATTATGAATGTTTGGAATACAATTCAAAAAAAAGTAATTTCTGTGTAATTCAATATTGATTATTTCTAAAAAATTGTTATCCATGCAAATTTAATATTAAAAACATGGATACAAAGGAAAAATGATTCATAAGCTATTCCATATTATGTATTGTATGATTTTTACTATAAAAGGTTTTACAAAAATCGTGACTTGTGTTTTGCTATACAATAGCTTTCTCAAGTGTTGATGATAAGTTACTTCTAAGTTAGAAATATTTCATATTCAACATATTATCTACTTGTTTGTCTACTTCCTAATGAATGAATCTACTTGAAAAGGTTAGGTATAAATTATTAACTATATGAATAAATTACATTTCCAGAAATACCCTAATTATACTAAACCTTTCTTAACTGGAAATAAACAGATTTAATAATAGGGAATTATTCAGTTCACTTTGATCTTTCATAAGATATTGGGAGTTTTTAAATATGTTTATTTCCATATACTCTCCAACAGGTTAAGTTTTGAACCTTTCTTCCGGAAATGGAGGGGCTTGAATTTATGACTGAACTCTTGTCTCTCTGTGATTAAATGAGTGGCATATGTGGAGTTCATATTTCCATTCTGGAAATCATTCATGTGTTCCTTTATGCGGGCTTCCAGTTTTACCTATATAAAACATCAGACATGACCCACATGATAATTTAGACACCCCCGATTTTTCTGAAACTGAACTTTTATCATTGTTATTCTTAATTCCCCTATGCCTCCTCCCAGGTTGAGTGCCCTGAAGTAAAAGCTTCTCCCCACAACTAATTTGCGAGGAAAACCTAATACTCCACTCCATCCACCCCCTCTCCCCGAGTGATCCTCAACTTACTGATGGGCATTTCAGCAAGATTGACATCTGACTTCTTTTGGTCGAAAGTCAGCCTTTAGGTGCTATTCTTTCGCGATCGGTTAACTGTTTTGTCGTGACTATTACCAACTGAAATGGAGAGTTTGTCTGATTAGTGCTGTTATTCTTAATGTGCATGCCTAAGTTGTTGCTGGTTCTGAATGCAATATTCACACTTTTGTTGTGCACAAAATTTGAAATATTCGTAGTGGGTTGGCCTAAGTAGGTTAAGGTGCTATAACTTTCACTCTCATCTCTTCGAATTGGGTAAACTTCCTTCAAACCTTCAGTTACTCGATATTACAAGGGCAAAGAAGATTTAACGATTTTTTTCTCGTCTTCGTCTTGCTGCCATCGGTATTGATGTCCTTATCAAAACATGTGCTGTTTGTCCATTTTTTTTAATTTCTTTTTTGATATTTTATCCAATTAATCCAGCTATTTCTGTAGGTTATAACTATGAAATCAAGATTTGGGTAATTGAAAATAGGTTAATAATAAAAAAATCAATAATTGAAGCTGTAGGGTTGTTTCCAGGAGACACTACTGAGACATCCCTATGTTTGATCTTTATCACTGACTTTGGTAGTTTGTTAAAAAGTTTGATAAGATAGCTTCATGCTTTGACCTTTTCTCTAATATCGAGAAAAATTTTTCACAAAGAAGAAAATAATTTTTCCTTGTGGTACGGCAATGAAAAAATGTTAGAATGAGGTTAGACTTGGAGACACCTCAACACTATCACTTTGCATATTTCCATAATTTATCATCATTCATAAATATTTTTGCTGAAGAATAAAAATTGCGACTCTAGGACTAGTGTGAAAGGTATTGAAATTTAAGGTTTCAAGCCAGGAATTGCCCAGGAGCTTAAGAGTTTTGAAAATGACATCAAGATCGTTACATACCATTTTTTAGGATTAATGCATCCGATTCAGTCTTATTTGAAAAATGTAATATTACTTTACTCTATTTTGAACTAATCTATGAAATTTTAGAAAATTTTAAACGTCTTCAATAATACTTGGTGTCAATGTAGCAGTACATTTCTTTTGATAAAATTCCAAGGACCACATTAAAGATTTAAATAGTGTCACAATCAATATTTTTGTACAAGTTGATAACCATAGCATAAATGCAACACTTTTATAATCCAGCCCGCCAAGGTCTTATCAGTATTCCTAGGCTGGACTTCAAATGTATTGTTGGACTCAACTGTCCTTAAAGATCAAGCTTGAGTAAATAAGAACGATGACATCTCCCCTTACAAAGACGCCATCTATGGGATCAACACAGAACTCAATCCTCGAATATTGAAGATGAATGAGGCTTCTCATTCTGCAAGCAATTGAAAACCAGAGCCCAAACACAACGCATTTATGCTCTGGTTTTCAAATAGTTACCTTGTAGTGAAAGACAGAGGACGAGTCTCGTCGGTAGTCGAAGTAGAAGCTCTGCCGATCCCGTAAAAAAATTAATGAACAGTAGCTTGTAGTTTACAGTCAAATTATAAAATTTCTTCCTGACGATTCGCTAGTGCGAGTGGCTAGCTTCTTCAGAGGTTCATACATCTCAAGTTTATCTCTAATGACTTATATTCCGACTGTATAAAGCATTTTTATGTTCATTCAGGAAGTTTGATGTGCTATTACATGTACTTAGATTAGGTAAATTGTTATTAACATTCGCTTACCCTTTTCTACCTGACGCCACGATGTTTGTTACTCTTGAACTCCTTAGGGACTCCAAATTCGATTGACATTCCCAGCTTCTTCTTTTCTGTTGAAATTATCCATGTGTTTGTGGATCTCTATTGCCTCCGGTACCAATCCGCTATGGTATACCTGGTTAGGGGCAACGAGTTTCGTGTTTTCAAACAGAATCCTATGGTTTCCTCCATTGAGTGCGTGTTCTGCCACAGATAGCTTGTCCGTTTGGCCTAGTCTGCAGTTTTTTCATGCTCCTTCAGTCTTATTCCCATGGATATTTCGGTGGTTCCAATGTATACCTTCCCACAAGTGCACAGTATGCAATAAACATCTGCTGCTGATAGTGGGTCCCTTTTGCCTTTAGCTGACCTTAGACTTTGTGTCTTCTTGATGAGTTCAAAAACTGTTTCATTTAATTTCACTAAAGTTTAGTTCAATTAAATTATTTATTTATTTACGGACTTACCATTATACAATGAACATATAAATAGTGTGATTGAAAAAATAAACAATTGAATAATAATATAGAATATAAAAAAAACTCAATTAATTATTAATAATAATAATCAGCAGTTTCTTCATAGTAGGTCAATACATTCAATATAATTTTTAAAAGAGTACAAGGATGAGTCAAACAAGTCAATAAATCAATATCGCTGCTATTCTAATCAAAATTGGATTAAATAATGTTATTTGAAATCTAATCAATTTGATTTGATTAAAAAAAATTAATCAACATGAATACGCGTTACGCAGCCATAGTATCCAGTTATCGGAGATATTAACTCGGGATGTATAAAACTCTGAGGAAGCTAGTTACTCGCGCCAGCAAAATGTCAGAAAGTAATTCCAAGAATCCAAGGCCTTCAATTTCAGAAAATGGTGACACTGAAAATCTTGGTCGCGAGAGCCTTAACCATTTTACAGTTTTGGTTACTATTGTCTTTTGCAATACAAAATTCAAATAAATTTTTTGATTACAACTACTATGTATTTATATTTTTCAATTTTGAACCTAAGTTGAATAAATTGTGTGAAATACTCATACGTGAGACTTTTACTCTAGAATATTTAGGTTTTTACAACATATTTCAGGAAGTGTTTAAGTTTACTTTTTTCAACAGACTGTCAGGATTCTTGTTAGCGCAACAGGGATGAATAAAGCCTACCCTTAATTGTCATACCTTTATCTGGTCAAGATCCCCTGGGATGACGTATCTCCATATCTCCCAGCGACCTGTCCACCTTCCTGGAAAGGACAGGATGGACGACGACCTAGGAGGACAACTCCTTGGGAGGATTACAATGGGTCACATGTGGCCTAAGTGCGTGGGCTTACACTCACCCTCCCTACTCTACAGATACAGATGCTGATACTATGGGTATCCCTGCCACTTTCAATAAGGTAGCAGTAAAGCACACCACTCTAAAAAACCTGGCATACGAGGCTCACCGGACTTGAATCCTCTGCTGTGAAAGAAAGGATTCAAAGTCTGTAACATCGGCCGCTGCAGACCGACACGAAAACGTTACAAATTGTTTGGTTAAACTAAACTGAATACATTTTTTAGCAAGAGAGAACAATTTATTTTTTACAACTGAATTTATTTAACTTTACTTGAAACAAAAGGTTTTAATGCTAACAAATCTGAATTGAGCTTCTAAATTCTCACCTAGAAGCAATTTCATTTACAATATTCACCAACACTTTCGCAGTTGGAGATTCTGGCAGTTCTTTGACACATGCTTTACCGAGTAATTGACCAACACGAGGATCAATTGGTAAAGTTCCCAAGAATGGTATTACTGCTCTTGTTGCTAACTGCTCTCCTCCACCTTGACTGAATATATTTGTGCAATCCGAACAGTGCGGGCAAACAAATCTGAAAGAATTGTAAAATTTACTATAAGAAACTATATATACAGTAATGAATATAGAATTTGCTGAAATAAATACATGACCAAAAGTCACTTCAATGTTCTTTCTGGTAGAAACTAATTCAAATTAATTTCGAATATTGCATGGTAATTTATAAATGCTTCTAATTATGTTGTTTTGTAAGGTTTTCAGAGGTTTGATTATAGATTTACTTGCTGAGTTTTGATTAGTATCAGGGAAATATTCATATATGAGCATTTATTGAAATTGAGCCTCAATTTATGGAATAATATAGAATAATAATTGAGTTTTTTTAACTAAATTCCAAAAAACTCCAAATTCTCAAAATATCCCTAAAAAAAATGGAACATTTGCATTAGTAATTTTTGCATATGACTATTCCAATTTTCAATGTTCCTAGAGTAAGAAGAAGGGGAAGTAAAAAGCCATGAGGTTTTTGCCAAAAATTATTCTCTCCTGAAATTACTTCCGTTTCACGAGAGTAGCTGGGATCTAACCTGCGTTCAACATAGCAATAATTTCATGGGTGGAATTCACTAATTACTTAGCCAAATCACATTATATATTGTTGATATATTCTAAGTTATATGGTGATGTTTATATATAACTGAATGTTTGAATTTTGTATTATTCAATAAAACAATTGTGAACTGGTTATACTGAAAGAAATAAGTGGTACCAATGATATAGAATCAATTCAAAACAAGCACTTCTTCCAAACACCATAATTGCAACATTCTTCTTGAATGCATTTCTCCTTAAAGACACCAACTTGGTTGTTGAAATGTGCATCGAAAATTGAGTTGGAGCTTCTTAGGATTGTATTGGAATTGTCAATAGTCTCTACAAACTCTATTTTATAAAAGGTTATAGAAAAACTTTTGCAAGTTTCTCTTTTAACAGTCAAGTATGTCTACAAGAAAAAGGGAAAAGTATGGAATCACACAGTTTCAGGTGTAATTTGAGAAACATGGTGTTTGGGAGTATCTTACAAATGATCCTTCATCAATGAGGAACAGTAGGATTGCAGAACAAAATCTATTATAATCTAGTGTGTTGCCGATTTCTATACGACACAAAGATTCCGTTGATGTAGTTGGTCAAAATAGTCCGTCTGTCTTTAGATCAAAATTGAAAAAAAAAAACAACAGATTCGTTGCTATGGTTGCCAACAAGGAGAACATTTATTATCCAAATGTCCAGATCATTCACCTCCGAACAGAAACATGTACTGGTTCAAAAACTGATAAGCAAATATGTCTGAATAATTGCCGTTCTCTGTAAATAATGATGATAATAATCAAGAAGCTTTTGAGTAGATAGCATACCATAGCAATGGCCTAGTCAAAATGAAAAATGCTGGATTGTTGATTCCAGAACATCAAATCATTACGCTGGAGATATTGAAGTTTTAAGTGACACCATAAAGTTGAATCACTAAATGAAAATAGATGTGGCTAAAGCTGGAAACGCAGATGGCCTCTCAAGAAGACCATGCCTGACATCTGGATGTAAATTTTGTCAACGCCAGGAGAACAATGATACCCAGTAACCAGACGTGACAAGGTAGCGGGCAGAGACTCCTTTATGGACACCTCTGATAGGGAGATAAGCTCTTCTACCTCCCATTGCTTCGGGTTCCCTCTGACCCGGAGGGTAGCAACCTGTAAGGGTCTCTTGTCCTTGTCCAGGGATACGGAAAAAAAAAGCTGAAGAATCAATTGACCATGGTGTGGTACGGACATTAACAGCTTCTTGGGGTGACACTACCTTCATGACGAGGCAAGAGATCATCGTAAGGCAGAAGGAGGATCCGGTTTTGAAAACTGAATGAGAATGAGATTTCCAAGCACGGCTAGCAGGAAGAGGTTTACCGGCTTCAATGGGACTCCATGTGCATTCGAGATGTACCTATTCACTCCAAAATGGGATGGAAGAACCCACAAATTCTAGATGATCTTTACAAAGACATGTATCCCTAATATACTCAATCAGTAACAGCTCCGCGATAGTCGCACTGGAGAGCATTTAAGAGTGAATAGAACTCTAGCGAGGGTGCGCGAGAGGTACTATTGGGTCAATTGCCGCCGAGACGTGGAGGAGTGGTGTAAACACTGTGGCCTGTGCTCTTCGAGAAAGGGGCCGAAGACAAGGCAAAGAGGAAGGGTTAAGCTTCACCTCAGTGGATGCCCTACAAGTATATCGATATAGTTAAGTTTTGCAGACAGTGCGGTGCAAAGTGATCTAACAAGGCGATAGAAATTTGAATAATAGTTGAAGTTTTAGTTAAAGTGTTTGGTTGTATTAACAGTTAAATGAAATTAACCCTTTATGTGTTGGTGGCTTCGAATCTGGCCACTTAGTTTGTATACAAACGTGAATATCGATCCCTTTTTTATCGGCCATACACAATTTAACTATCTTCCTCTGAACGTTTGGTGTGCTCATAGCGAGCCATATGTACCACAGGCGTAGTGAAAGTGGGATTTAGTGACAAGTGGCAACTTGACTAGCCACCAAACCTCTATTCCTTGGTAGTGAATGTCGGTAAAACGTGTTGTGCTCTAGAGTTTTACTAATTTTTGAAGAAGTTTTCAACAATCTTGTCAATGTAAGTATTATTATATTCTCAAATAGAGTTAGATTTCATATTATAATGCATAAATCAATAAAATAATTTACGGCTTGGATGATATAAGAGTTAAAAGTAGTTGGAGTATGATATAACCTAAAATAAATTTTATTATACTGTTACTGAAAAGTAACATGCAGTGTTTGGAGTTGTTCTCAATGCAATAGAGATTTTGAGAAATATATTGAGGATAGCATTATGTGTCTAATCATGAAAAAAAACAGTTTGAATGTTAAAATTATTGTTATACATAAACTGAAAAATCAATTACATTTTTGTTCTATTTTATAGAATGGAGCGGTACCGTATGGTTGATTTGGAAACACTGGACACAGAAGAGTTATACGATTTTATTGATGGCATATCGGAGGAACAAGCCGTCGACTCTGATGTTGGGGGCGATAGTGATGCAGACGATCAGCTAGTTCATGAAGAGCGCCCACAAAAGGCCATAAGAAGTAAAGCCTCAGGGTCAAATAAAAAATTGAAAGTTTTTGATGACTTTGGCTCTGATGATTCTGTAAACGATCCGGATTATATTCCCGAGGACTCAAAAAACACACCATTATCTATAGTACGACGTCGACTCATATACCAGAGATATTCTACTGATATAGACAGTGACAGTGAAATAGAGGACTCTCACAATAATAGTCGTATTGATGAATCCAACAATCAACCATTGACTAATAAACCGTTTAGTATGCAATGGAGTAAAAATGCACACGCGCCAACAAAATATGAAAATTATTCATTCAATGAAAATTTCGGCGGTAATGGTGACTTACACGAAAAATCGCCCTCTGAAATATTTCTGAATTTCATGTCAGAAGATATCATCCAGAGGATTGTAAACGAGTCACACATTTACGCACAGCAACGTGGAGTTACATTTGACACTACAAGTGAAGAAATGAAAGCCTTTTTTGGATTTTTGATAATCATGGTATTTCATAATTTGCCGAGCATTCGACTTTACTAGTCAACTGACCAAAATATGCGTGTTTCCAGAATAGCCAATACCATTTCTCTAAAGCGTTTTTTAACAATTTTACGGTATCTACATATCAACAACAATGAAAATGCTCCAAAAAAAGGTGATCCCAATTTCGATAAACTTTATAAACTCAAACCTATGGTGACTCACCTCAACCAGAAATTCAAAGAAATGTTTTCTCCAGCTCGTCAACTCTCCATCGATGAAAGGATGGTGGGCTTGAAAGAACGTCTGTCACTGAAGCAGTACATGCCTATGAAGCCCACCAAGCGTGGATTCAAAATTTGGGTAATGGCCTGCGCTAAATCAGGATCCATGCTTTCTTTCAAAATTTATGAAGGAAAGGGTTCAGAGGACATCGAGGGCACGTTGGGCGAACGGACTGTTCTAACACTGGCTGATGATTATTTGAATAAGGACTACTGTCTTTTTTTCTACAATTTTTTTTCGACGTTCGACTTGCTGAAAAAACTCATAGAAAAAGATACCTTTGCTTGTGGAACATTCCGTTCTAATCGAAAGTATTACCCTAGAGAACTTTTGGCTGATGAAAAATCCATGAAATTAGGAGACAGTGACTTTGCTATGAGTGTAGACTCTGATTTATCTGTGTCGAAATGGCGTGATAGGGGAAAAAAGTCAGTCGTAATTATAAGCTCGTTTCATGATCCATCTGTTTCCAAAGAAGTTCTACGGACTAATAGAATTGGCGTGAGAGAAAATGTGAAATGCCCTCATTCCATAGCAGAATATAATGCTTTCATGGGTGGGGTAGATCTTTTTGACCAACTCCATTCCTGCTATTCAATTTCCTGGAAATCTCGTCGCTGCTGGTTGAAGATATTTTTTTATCTAATAGATGCAGTCATTGTAAATTCCTTTATTGTGTACAAAACTTCCATGATTGGAAAGGACAAGAAACCGATATCTCATCTTCAGTTCAGGTCGCGGCTGGCAAACGAGCTTATTTTGAATTACTTCGGTAGAAAACGAATAGGAACACCAGTAGTGATAAATAAAAACAAACTGAAGAAAGTGGATGGGAGGGCAGTTTCGGTGGAAACTTGTCAAAGAACTACCAATGTTGGAGCCCACATACCAATTCAAGGACCAAAATATCGACGATGTGCGTTTTGCAGTACGAAAAAACAAGTGAAACGCTCAAGATTAGTATGCGAAGCCTGTAAGTGGCATTATGTCAAAGTTGTTTTCAACCTTTTCATAAATAAAATAATTAGATTTTAGTTTTTTTACGATATAAATAAAACCTCTTTTTCAACTTGCTCTGTACTTTTTCAAACTGCTTGTTATTATATATTTTTATTATGTGGCTACCATAATAGCCACCAAATAAAGTGACATATTCAGAGTACCAGATGTTTGGTGGCTAGTATTTGTGACACCTAAAATAAAAAAACCACTGACACTTTTAAAGCATAAGTTGCATTTGTTATGTTTCAATATAACTTGCCCAAAATAATCAATTTTTCTTTGAAAAATAAAGTTGCTCTATAAAGGGTTAATAAAAACACTATTATCTAAATACCACTAGTAAATTTCATTTATACGACCGGTTTCGAGTTTGACCCCATTATCAAGTATAAAACTGAAATCTGAATTTTGAAATTTCGATTTTATTATAGCTTAACTTATGAGTAAATTATACCCAAACTGTAGAGAATACAATATAGTCAAGTACAGTTGCATCAATTACTCAGGTAAACTTTCAGAAAATATTCAAAATTATTTCTCTAAATACAAAATTTCAACAGCTTTCACAAGTAATGATAATTTAAGTAGAACCCTGTTTAATGCAAAACACAAACGGGATATAATGAAAAAATCAGGTATATATGGAATAGAGTGCGGCGAATGTTCTGCAGTATACACAGGCCAAACCGGTAGAAATTTTGAAATAAGATTACGTAATCATATCTGTTTGGACAAAAAATCTGTAATGTACGAACATCTTCAAGAATTAAACCACAAGATAAATGAAGATAACCTCAAAATCCTACATATATGTAATAAAGGGAGAAAAATGAATCTGTTGGAGGCCATGGAAATTAACAAATCAATTAAAATCTAGAAACATATACCCCTAAACAAGCAACTTGATTTATGTAGGTCTCCTCTCTTGAATTTATAGGTTTAATAACCCCTAGAATTTTCAGGGTGGTATTTTAAGTTGGCATCCTGTCCCTCATATACCTGTCGTTGCGACATACCTGAAAATTCTAATAAAATGGATATTTCAAAATTCAGATTTCAGTTTTATACTTGATAATGGGGTCAAACCTGAAACCGATCGTATAAATAAAATTTACCAGTGGTAAATAGACAAAAGTGTTTTTATTCATTTCATTCAAGTGATCATGAATTACCATAAAGTAAACAAGTCATCAATCACACATATTGTATTAACAGTGAAATAAAATTGAGTTTTATTATTGTATAGTGTAGTCAACAATATTTTATTAAACTTACATACCCGCTCATATTTTCAATTAGTCCCAGGATTGGAATACCAGTCTTTTTACAAAATGTTATTTCTTTCCTAACATCCTCAATTGATAATTGCTGTGGAGTTGTTACTATTATCGCACCATCTAGTTTAACAGATTTCAAATTTTCCATTACCGTTATGTGTTCGTCAGAAGTTCCTGAAATTATTAAAGTCATTAATTTGAAAAAAAAAAAGAAAGTTATTAATTTTGAAAAAATAGAAAGGAAAAAAGTCAAACAAATATTGTAACCCAAGAAAAAAATAAAAGTTACAAATCAAAATAAGCTAATTATCAACATTGTATTCATTTAATATTACTGGAGTTTTATCCCAACATCAAACCGTTATTTTAACACCTCGACACGTGTTTCGATCACCAAGTGATCATCTTCAAGAGGAAGATTAAACTGATTCTGAATTGTATTCATTATTTACCTAGGTTGATTTGATTTACAGTTTTTTACTCATTATATGAAATTGAATAATTTGGGGATTTATTAGTTCCAAAAATTTTTTGTAACAAGTTTTTGACAATTGCCAATCATTTTGTCAGTATATCACCTTCCTTTCCAGCCTTTTTAGTAAAATTATATTTTACATTTATGTGTTTGTTTATTTGTTATGGCTTAAACATTTGTATGTCAGTCATGTCTCCTGCATCAGTTCATGACAAAATTACTGTAGCCTGTTTTTGTCACCCATGAAGTAGGACAACCAAAAACTAGAATCCTCTTTACATATATCAAAAGCCTTTTGAGTCTATTGCAAATTTCTTCATTTAGATGTTATTGAAATCTACTGTAACAGCTTACTGAAATGATCCCTATATCACATACATTAATCATACAATCGACTCCTTATATGGCTTTTCGAATATACTTTCTGATTTTTTTTTAAATTTTCACTTTACTCTCAAGATAAATTGTCAAAGGTACAGGCCAAATCTTTTCAAGAAATTTACCAAGCAATCTTTCTGACTTATATATACAATAAGTTTCTTCACAATTTTCTTTCAATCATCAGTTCAAACTGACTATCCATGATAATTTCTGAATAGAAATGAAAATGTTTGTTAAAATTGTGTAATTATCATCATGGATTGTGTCATTCATTTTCATCAAGTAACGGGTCAGTCCATTCATAATCCAAGGAGTCTGTTAAGTTATTTAGTATCAACCACAAAAATCATTCTTGAGTTTCATTTGCAGTATTTTTATTTCGATTATACTTTTGGAATATAAAGTGATGTCACCCAAATCTAGTTTATTTTATCCTCATACTCGTATATAAAACAGTAATCATAATTCAAATTCTTGAAGACAGTTATTATGAAACTATTATGAAAATCTTCTAGTTTTTACTCATACTTTGTTGAAAAATTAAATTTATATTTTTATGTGAGCTTTGTGTTGTTTATGTTTTGTCTATGTATAAAACAGAATTGTGGTGATGAAGAAATATTTAATGTTTTCAAACAAATGTCTTTAGAACAAGGTATTTGAAAACATCAGACTGAAAATATCAAAATTATTCCTTTCTTCAAGACAGGTGATACAACAACTATATTGAATTACAGAGCCATAACGTTATGCCCTGGTATATCAAATAAACTCTGAATAAATTTGTTAGTTACATCGTTGAGGTTTTGGATGGGTCCAAGATCTGCCTTGGACTCTTCTAAAGCTTTTGACTGTGTTAACCATCAAGTTCTCCTACATATATTATCGAGATATAGTATTTGAGTTACCTATATTTCATGATTGGTTTGATTCATATTTATCTGATCACTTTAAAAAAGTCAGGGTTTCAAATTTGGCTATCGTCACTAATGGTGTATCCCAAGGATCAATTTCAGTTCCTACTCTGTTTATTATTTTTATAAATGATGTTCTTCATGATATTTCTAGAAACAATTATCTTCATTTGCTGATAATACTAACATCTTGATCACATATAATAATTATGACAGATGTGTTCTTTTAGCTAAGCAATTGTATGCCAAAGTTAGTTGATGAGTGCAAAAGAATAAACTCAGCCTAAATGAAGACAAAACTGTATGCACTTCATTCAGTATGTCAAGACTCTCAGAAAAAACCATTCCTTTAAATGAGAGAACCTTTGAATATCAAGAACAATGAAAAATGCTTGGGTTGGTGATTGATTTTAACCTCAACTGGACCAAACAAATTGAGTTTCTTTGCACTAAATGCTACTACGATACATGCCCTAAAATTTCTGAAAGACAATGTAGTAGCAACATATTGAGACAACTATATTTCGCAACAGTTCATAGCCATATGAGGTACTCTATAGTACACTGTATTGAAGTTTCTGAAGTTGTAGTGCAAAAAAAAACGATATAAGTGTGTTTTCAGAAATAGAAATATTTATTTCATGTAAACAATTAGACATGTATACATTCTTCTAGATAGTGATATGGATCACATAAGATAAATAAAATAGTGTAAAATACGCCTCACATGAGGTACATATCATAATTGAAGACATGAAGTATGAACATGTTAAAACCAAAGCACAGGATAGTAGTCCCAATGAGGAAGAGTATTACCTACTCACATGCACATGTAACTACGTGATCCAGATAATCATCTACGGAGTAAAAACACTGCTGTGTTGAATATTTACAGATCTTAGTTTTGAATGATGCAGAAGACATATTGGCATTATTGAATTTTTTGTGGCAGAGCATTATACAATTTTATGCCCAGAAATCTAAAGGAGTTATGTGTTTTTGTAAGTCTGAATAATGGAGGGTAGAGATCATTTATTTTTCCTTGTAATAATACAATACAAGAGTGAGTGTGACAGTGAGTTCTTTGACATATAATTTTTTTTTACATAGAAGAGGCACTCCATAATGAAGCAACATTTCCTGAACAGTGGTTTGAAGTAATCATCACATTTACTGGATATTATTATTCGAATGACTTTTTTTGCACTATGAATATTTTGTGGCTGTGACCTGTGTTTCCTCAGATTATCAAGACATATGTTCATATACTATGGATCCACGTCGAACCGCCCGGTCGGTAGCCGGGCGGTTCGACGTGGGTGCTTTGTTCACTCAGCCTATCGGCCGATGTGTGAGTCGATGGTTCAAGCCCCAAGCTGAACGCTCAATTTTCACTTGCTATCGTCCAACCCGTGTTAGGAAACACACGTTAAAAGGTGAGACCTCGTTAATCCTTAGCTCGCACAAGTTTAGACTTCTGAGGGTTGTCGTTCGTAGGGGTATGATAGCTGGTTAACGGAAAAAACATATTTCAATTATTTTTTTATAAAACAGCAAAATATGCCATTCTTAGATGATCTGTATCCACATTCAGCTTTAGTTGCCTGAGAGCAAAGGTATGCTTTCGCAAGGCGCTTAGGTAGATCCTTAACGTGGTCCTGAGATGGGGAAGTGGTGCTCATAACAAGACACTGTGTTTTTGATTCATTAAGAAATAAATGATAACAATTAAACCAGTTTTTTATAATTTTTCTATGTCTTGATTAGAGTGCCGATCTTCTCAATTTCAATTGCCTTCCTTATGATTCTGGTTTCTTGGAGTTGTATACTAGTGATCAGTGTTCAGCTGCTCAAATCAATTTTATGACCTATCTCAAGGTGTTTGTTAAGAGTTTAGCCACCTATAGACGGAAAGGAACTACCATTACTCAATTTTTGTTTCCAATTCTTATTACATTCAGTGATTTGATAGAAACACATTTTCTCATTATGAATATGAATAAAAATTCCAATGAATTTTTAAATAAAATGTCTGAAATAATAGTCTACCTGGTGGTGTATCAATGATTAAATAATCCAAGTTACCCCAACATACATCAGAAAGGAACTGCTTAACCATTGCTGTTTTCTTAGGGCCTCTCCATACCACAGCAGTATTTCTATCATTCAATAAGAATCCAATTGACATAACTGCCAAGTTTTGTTGTTCATCTGTATAAACAGGAACCCACCTAATAAAAAATTATCAGTTATGATTGAGTTTCAAATTGAATATTTTGAAAAGTATACATATATAATGCAGTCAGACCACTTGTAACAGTTAACTATTTAATTATTTGAAATTTGTTTCTCATCAAAACATAATACTTTTTCTTTGTGTTATTCATTTCACTGATAGTATTTTCCATTGGTCCAACATTTATTGGAATAAACTGGAGAGAGTTATGAATACATATCCTCTAGAAATTATTATATTTATCATTTGTTTACATATCCTTAAAATAAATACATAACTGCTAATGAGTGATAACGTCGATGAGTGATGCAACACTAATGTCTTTCTCATACGAAAATTATGTCTGACATTGATACCTTGTTCCAGTCAAAAGTTGATATGGGGAGGAAACTTTTTACATTTGCGCTGCATAAAAGTTAACTCAGTAGTCGTTACAATTGTAACTAAGTCAGAAATTAATTCTTGAATCAAATCACACATGACAAATGACAATTATAGTTTCACAATAAATTTTATATAAGATGAGTTTTGCTACACAATAGCTTACTAAGTTCGACTGGTGAAGTCATCATGTAGTGAAATATGTTTTGAATGAAATTCATTGTAAAAATTCTATAATCATGAATAGAGTTATTAATTTTCATCAAGTAATGAGTTAGATTATTTATAATATGCATAACATTCGTTTAAATTATAATAGTCACTCATAATCACTCTACACGACTTTATTTTTGGTACTTTACGGAGTTCATGTACAACTTATAGAGATTAATCCTTTTTTTGGCTTTGCATAAGTACCTGAAATGTCTTTTTTGCAGTATGAGGATGGATTGAAAACGTTATTCACTGAATAAGCGTCAAAAGTGTATTCCGTAGGCATAACATATTTTTTGATATGCAAGAATAATTTTATGGATATGTAGCATTTGGAAGAAAAGAAACTGTCTTTCAAGTATTAAGAGATTTTTGTCACACCAGTTCTTCACTTTCATGAGATCCAGAGATGTTTAGCCAGGAATGTTGTTTATATATTATAAAAACAGGTTGGGACCGGAACTGACCCTTGAGAACACCTGTCTTTGCATCATTTAATTTTGATCTTGTAGTTTTCACAAACTGTCTCAAGATATGACTTGAACCATTCAGAAGCTGAGATGTCAAATCTATATATATGAATCAATGCAATATAATTCTTAAGTATAAATCAATACCAAGAACTCATTTTATTGATTGAGGAATTAAATTATTCAATAACTTTTGTGAAAACTGTGAATGGAATTTTTTTCTGAAATTAGTGAATTCACATAGAACTCTTTTTTAGACATGATGTGTGACGTAAATGTATTGAAATGATGTAATATATGGTAACTCCAGTCTTGAGTTGCAAATTTTTAGTAGGAAGAAGTCGAACTACTATTAGAAACGTATGACACTTACACACACACATATTGAAACAATATATAATATTATATCAATGCTCTTGCACGAATGTTCCCACTGAACATTAATGATTCAACTGCTTACAATTCATTACAACCTGAGATTTAAGACTGTTAGAATAATCCAGCAATACTGTTCTTACCCTCCATCTGCCTGATGTACATCTTTACCTTCTAATTGCAACAAATAAGGTATACTTGGTCCACACAAATCTATATCCAATAAACCAACCTGTAATGAAAAATTGCATATATATTATATTTTGTTGATGAACTATTCATATACCTTATATCCTTTTTCTTTAAATGTTAAAGCCAATTGAGTACTGACAGTAGATTTACCAACTCCGCCTTTTCCGGATAATACCAATATAACATTTTTAACCGTTTCCAACATTTTTAGTTTTATCAATTAATAAATAAAACTCAAATCAGTAAATGTAAAAATATAATCTCTACCTACTTCAAATCTGGATATCTGACACCTGTCAAAAAATAATAAACATAGGTGTGTTCTGGCGCTCATGTATTCAAAACGGTATTTGTTCATCTGTGATTCAAGCGTTGAAACGATAACGTCACATCAACTATGATTTGAAACCATGGACAATGGAATACTTGAGGGAATACTAATAGGTCCATGTTTGAAACATATTCATGATGATTCAAAACTAAGATGTATGATGTACTGTTTGGAACCTTTGGTGTAGTAATGAATATTACTGGAGTTTTGTCCCAACACTAAATCCAAATGATCATCTTCAAGAGGAAGATAAAACTGAAGATGATCATTTGGTGATCGAAACACGTGTCGAGGAATATACTGTTATGAATTCATGAAACAACCAATATTTTAATAACTACGGAACAAAGGAATATTAATTGAACATGATTTGAATAATGAGGTGATGACATACCAATGATATTAAAAAAAATTATAAAACAATTCAATTAGGACATGCCTGATATAGATTACAAAAAAATATTCCCAGCGAATTCTTTGTCGAGCTTTTTGATTACCTGTTAAGAGACCCTTTTGATAAGCACCAACTTTTAACTGAATTTTTTTCAATTAATAATAAAAAAGTGTTCTCTTTGATGCATAAAATTTAGAACAAGTGGTTTATATATGAAGAACAACTTAATGAGGAGAAACACAGCTATTTTCTAATAGATATTCATCTACTCATAGTGACTATGGACGTATGTATATCACACCTAGCATTTCTACTCATGAATCAGGACAGATTTTCTTATACATATATATCTTGTTACATACATAAAATCATTCAAGAGAAATAGCACTACATCCCCACCTTGAACTCCTCATGTAAGCCTTTGGTTTCTGCAAATAACTTGAGAGAAATTACAAGACAAAATTTAATAATTTACAATGGATGTAAGATGGTCAATTACCTTCCATTGAACATCAGATGTATTGAATAACTTCTTTGGTTCGGAAATAATGTGAACTATTTATTGTCTGTAAAAGTATAATCTGGTTTGTAAGATTTCTGTAATTATGGTTATTGAAATTTACAATTCTAGCATAAATTGAACAAAGTTTAATTCAAATATCTTCCATTATTATTATTTTAATTTGATTTCATTGAGTCATATTTTTTGCTATGATTTCATGTGCAGGTCATCACTGATAGACTAATTTGACACTTGACCTCCCCATGCCATTTAAAATCTTGAAAAAGTTGAAGTGCCTCGCCCAGCCATCTATCAAGCAATCAAAATGTGTTTTATTTCAAAAAATAGTATCAGTGATAGCCCCCCAACGTTTTTTCATGCTTCTGTGTCAAACCGTTCAAAAGTTGAGTTAGTTTTTTATCAATCTGAGGTGAAATGGTATTTAATCCCCTTACCAGTGGTAAATTAACTTTCAGTTTTCTTGTGATGGGATTTCTTTTAAATTCAGTTTCCCATGAAAAGTAAAATACTGTAATGTTCAGAGAACACCACGGTTAAATTTCTGCAGACTGTAAGCCTAAAGGAACACCTTCTGAGGCAGTGAATTCCAAAGCTTTGCCGTTTATTGTTAGAACGTGACCTTGGAAAGAGATGTGATGAAAATGGTTTATTTTCTTTTAGAATACAAATACAAAATGTCTTTTGATATATTTCAATTGCTTACTACAACCTTTTTCATTAAGTGTGTAAAAGAGTTCTTTTTTTCAAACGATGTGACCATCAATTATGATATAGGTAGTTTTTTGAAAATATTCAGTTAGATTTAAAAAAACCCATACAGCTGATGAATTTTTTTTGTATCAGATGGAGTAGTAGAAAGCCAAAAACTTTCTTTCCCAGAAAAATTGTATTTTTTAAAAATAGCACTTTGGTGTTGGGATAAACTCTGATATATTCAATATTATACACCAGGGTATTATGGAATTCCACAAATACCCGGCATTTGGGTATTATTAATAGGCAATAATTTCAGAAGATTACTAAGAGATACATTTCAATAAAGATTAGTTTCAATACAATTTACCCTCTTTGGAAAAATATTTATATTTATTTTCGAGGGCTCTTTGGCACAGCAGATACTCAATCTACAGATCAGTGTCTATCTTGACAATAATTCTTCCTTGTGATGTTCACAAACCACAAGATTTTTGGGAGAAAAATTTGACAATTTGCTTAAAGTTACTGAAAGGCAATTTCTTGTAAGTTCCCTCTAAAAAACACCTGATATTGTAGCTTCATCATCGTGAAGAAAGCTAATAAATTTTTCTGATGGAAATGTTAAAAATCCCCTGCTCTTGTTTCTTATGAGGGAATTGATCATTTCATTTCCCTTCCCCAATATTGAATCGACACATTATCTACATTTGGTGGTTCTTTTGATTTTTCTGCGACATATCCACAGAAATAAGCAAAAACTTCATCAATATCTGAGAACCCCTTTTCAATTTCGGAGATATTTTCTTCTATTTCAATATCGAATATAAATTTTTGCTTTTTTCTTTCAGATCTCCAATATGAAAAAGGGATTTCATCATTTCTTCTCCACTAACATAACTTCCCCTGGACAGTTCTATCAGAGAATAGAGGGACATCGGGCGGAATATTTGTCCAACTTGAATTGACTGCAGCTCTGATCATCCCAAAAAAGTGCTGAAAATGAAAACAACAAAGTTGATTGGAATTGTTTTGGATATATGAACATTATCACCTCTAATCTGAATGTCGTCAAGTATTTGAAACCAAGATTGGATAAAACTTTGTTAAGTCTAGTGTACATGAAATATTTGCGCAAAACCCTTCATAAGTAGAATCTGACAAAAAGAACTTTTCAAGGGAACATTGTTTCCTTAAGTCCAAATATATCAAAAAGGAATCTAGATCCTGGAATGCATTAAGTTAAAATTTATACTTGTACTTTATCAGGTTTTTTAAATATCAATCAGATCAGATAAAATATCTCATGAGCTAATGTTTATAGCTCAAGAGATCTAAATTATATTGTTATAGTTGAGTTGATATTGGCTTTCTGAATGTCAGATATATAGGGTGTTTCAAAATTCGAGACAAATATTTCTAGGGTGTATTCCTAGATTGAAAATATGAATGAATTTCCCATAAACAAAACAAAAGCGAAAAAAACGTAAATTTTGAATTCAAAAGGATGAATGAGGGTTGCCTGCAAGATTTATGGACAAAAGTGCCTTATTTCTTCCAAAAAAATCTATCTTGTTAGCAATGAAAAAACCTGAAATGTTTACTCCTTGCCTGTTTTGAATTAGCAGTTTTCCAGAAAAGTGACGCTAAATGAAAGGAGAATATAATGAATAATAAAATCATTTATAAAAAAATGGAAATCAATCTTTGAATCTGGGAAAATTTCAGCATCCTTCATCGAAAATTTTCAATAGCTCATGTAGTATGCTTTCATGACTGTCTTCAATGTTTTGGTTGGTTTCCGGGTTTTGCTGTTGTCTTCTTTGGTAAACTTCAAACGTTTCAACTGCAACTACGACAGTCACCCTCAGCGGCGTTGACGAAGTACTATTCACGACATATTCATTGAAACTAATTTCAGATCAACTTTTTTCTATAAGATTACTTCGTCAATGCAACTGAATATGACTGTCCCAGTTGCAGTCGAATATCTTTACCGAAAATGACCAGGGCAAAGCCAGGAAACTAACTATTACGAAATTAGTAGGATGAGTTCATACATTCAATTCGCTTTTAGAAATATTTCATTCAGATTTCAGAATCCAAGTTACACTAAATCATTAATTTATCTATTCAAAATTATATCTGGTATAATTGATTAACCAGAAATTCACTCCCTTATAACTTTCAACGTTCCACAGAGGTCCATTAGACAAATACTTTGGCACTGAATATGGATGATTACTCGAATTTTTACACTGTCCACACAAAATACAGAATTGTCCCATTTTACAAAAAGTAACCCTATATACTAGATATATATAAAATTAGTCCTTATTACTACTGGAAAATATAACAAAAATTTCAATTTCAAAACACGAAAAGTTGAAAATACGTTTTGACAATGACAGATAATAATTAATGAACCTTTTTCCTGAAGTACGAAAAATCACTCACTAGCAGCCCTAGTAGTTCGGAATTTCGGATCTGTAGTAAATGAAATTAAAAATAATTATGAATTTCAGATTTATTTCCGAGTGAAATATGAATCAAATATAGATGGTAATGAAATAAATTTAATA